CCCTACTTGCTGTACTATTGCTTGGCCCCTCAACATAGTTTTTTTAATCAAATCTTTCAGTAGATTGGAAATAGAAGAGAGATGCCTTGTTGTTATAATAAAGGTCCTATATGACTTATTTACAACTAACATCATACACACTGGTGAAAAATTAAAAACTTTTTTCTTAAGATCTGGAACTAGACAAGGATATTCACTCTGTCCGCCATATTTCAATGTAGTTTTGGAAGTCCTGGCCAAATTTATTAGTCTAGAAACAAATATTCAAAAAAAATCAAATTGTAAAAGAAAAAATCAAATTACTACTATTTGGGGATGAAATAATAATAAACAGAAGACTCCACAGACTATTCTAAATACTAATCAATGAGTCAGCAAAGTGGCAAAATGCAGAATCAATACACACAAATCTGTTACATTTTTACATGTTAACAATAAATTATAAAAAGGAAAATTAAGAAAATATTCACGTTTATAATTATATCAAAAAAGGTAAAATAGTTTGAAGAAAACAAAACAAAAACATTAAATGATCTATGCACTGAAAATTATAAGACATTATTTAAGAAAATAGAAAAAGACAAAGTAATGGAAAGACATATTGATTGGAAGAATAAGCATGATTAAAATGTCCAGCTTACCTAAAACAATGTGAATAGTCAATGAAATTTGTGCCAAAATCCCATTTGCATTCTTTATTTGTTTGGTTTTGTTTTGGGGTCACATCCAGCGATGTTCAGGGGTTACTCCATGCTCTGCACTTAGGAATCACTCGTGGTGGTGCTCCAAGGACCATATGGAATTTGGGGAATCAAACCCAGGTCTGCCACACGCAAGGAAATGCTTTACTCTCTGTATTATCTCTCTGACTCCAGTTTCATTTTTTAAGGAATAGAACAAACAGTTCTAAAATTTGCATGGTACACAAAAGACCTTACATTGCTAAAGCAATTATGAGAGAAAATAAGTAAAATAGAGGCATCATGCTTGCTGACTTCAAACAATATAATAAAGCAACTAAATTTCTTTTATTTTTTTATTTTAATTTATTTATTTATTAAATCACTGTGGGAAAAAGTTACAAAGCTTTCAGGTTTAGGTCTCGGTCATGCAAATATCAAACACATTTCCCTTTACCAATAAATTTATTTTAAACATGGAACTGGAACAAAAATAGTGGAATAGAATAGAGAGCTCCGAAATAAATCCACACAAAAATGACATCCAATCTATGACAAAGGAGCTGAGATAGTATAACGAAGAAAGGAAAGTTTCTTCAACAAAGGGTATTGTGAAACCTGGACAGCCGCATTAAGTAATAAAACAAACAATGAAACTATTTTTTTATAATGCACAAAAATTAATTTTCAAGGATTAAAGATTTGACTATCATATACCAAACCATGGCTGGAGTGATAGCACAGCGGTAGGGCGTTTGCCTTGCACGCAGCCAACATGGCTGACCCGAGTTCGATTCCTCCGCCCCTCTCGGAGAGCCCGGCAAGCTACCGAGAGTATCTCGCCCGCACGGCAGAGCCTGGCAAGCTTCCCGTGACGTATTCAATATGCCAAACACAGTAACAACAAGTCTCATGATGGAGACGTTACTGGGCCGGTTTGAGCAAATCAATGAACAACGGGAGGGTCTTTACCTTTACCTTTATGCCAAACCATAGAATACATAAATGAAAAGATAGGTGATATGTTAAAAGAACTTAATGTAGGAGATGATTTGGAAATTCAATGCCGTTTGGTTAAAAGAAAAAAAAGAACAGATAAACGGGACTACATCAAATTAAAAACACAACATAGAAACTAACACAAACAGGCAACTTAGGAATTTAGAGAAGATACTTGAGCATTATTTGTCCAAGGGGTTTATATTAGGAACTTAACAAAAATAAAGTGAGCAACTGAATCAAAAAACGAACAAGATCTAAACAGGCAATACCCACTCCCTGCCCTGCTCCCCGCTTCTCCCCAACTCCCCACCGCCCCCGCCAAAAAACGACGTACACATAGATTATATATACACAAACATGAAAAAAATGCTTAGCATTTTGATTTTTGTTTGTTTGTGGGTCACAAGTGATGATGCTCAGAAATTATTTCTGGCTCAGTGCTTGGGAGTTGCTTCTGAACTATGCTTAGAGACCATGTGGTTCTGAGGGGTTGCACTCTAACCTGGTAAACTATCTACGTGGCCCTCAGCATCTCATAATCAGGGAAATGCAAATGAGAAGCACAATGAGGTATCACCTTACACCAGTGAGAATGGCCTATATAAAAAATATTGAAATAAAAAAGTGTTGGTTTTGTCTAAATGAGGATGAGGATGTGAAGAAAAAGAACTCTGGTACACTCTTGGTGGGAATGTAAATTGAAATGACCTCTGTGGAAAATGGTACGGAGATTCCTTTAAAAAAATTGAAATGAAAATGCCATAACATTCAGAAATATTGTTTGTGAGAATTTAGCTGAATTTGAAGGACATTTATTAATTTGAGGGATATTTATATGATTATGTTCACAGCAACTTTATTTTTCATAGTCAAGCCACGGGGCCAACTTAACTGCCCCTGATCAGATGAAATTATACTGTTTGGGAATAAATGGATGAAATTTAGTTGATTATACTAAGAGGTTAGGAAAATGAAACAATTATCAGATGGTTCCAATCATATGCAGAATATGTCTAACTAAAGCAAATAAACTGGCTAAAAAGAAAAAAAAACAAACTAAATTGACCCCTAGACTCACTGAAAACTATGATGGTTACCAGCGGGTAGGAGAACGTGGGTGGGATGAACAGAGTGAGGAATCTTTGGGGGCATGAGATAGCTTGGGAAATTTGACATTTGGGTACAATGAGTCCTTTACACTTAAAGAGATGTAAAGCATACTTTAGAATTCCAACCAATAATAATTTTTTAACGTGCAAAAAAAGCAACTGAAGATAGTACAGGGAGAACATTTTTGCATGTGTGCAAGCCTGGCTCAATCCTGGCACTGCCAGAATGGTCACTGAGCTTATAGCCAAGGGCTCCTGAGCACCTCTGGGTTTGATCTATACTTTCCTTCCCCCCAAAAGAAGTTTGAATTGCGTCAGTTATATTCTGAGTGCCAGTAGAATGGTGAAACAGCCTCATCATTTATGTCTGTTATTTTACTTCATGCTTGACTGTACTGTTTCACAGGAATTTTACCTTGGGCCAGTGAGGATCTATTTGGATCTCTTTTTACTTATTCATGAACTGTGAGTCAGTCTTCCCAGTCACAGGATTGTTGTTAGAAGAACAGCATATATAAAACAACTGGCATAAAGTAGGAGCTCAATGAATCTAAAATTCTCCCTACATAGAAAAAAAATGCTCACTGAAGTACAGGGACTAGAATGTTTGTAGAAGTTTTATTTATAGTAACCCCAACGGAAAGAATAGCAACCTCAAATGACCATCAGTAGTTGATTGGATAAAAATAAAGGGAAGATATTCGTATAATGCAATACTTCAGAGCAGATGAGTTCCTGAAAAGGCCTGGGTAAATCTTACTAACACAGGCTGAATAACATAGAATAACATATTCTTATAATTCCAATGAAAGAATCTTTTGCTGTTGTTTTTGAGTGGGCTGAAGTGATGCGAGTGCATCGGGTAGGGTGTTTGCCTTGCCCGTGGCTGACCCGGATTTGATTCCTCCGTCCCTCTCAGAAAGCCCGACAAGCTACAGAGAGCATCTCAACAGCACGGCAAAGCCTGGCAAGCTCCCCGTGACGTATTCGTTATGCCAAAAACAGTAACAACAAGTCTCACAATTTGTTGTGAGAGCTTACTGATGCCCGCTCAGGCAAACTGATGAACAACGAGAGGACAGTGCTACGGTGCAGTGTTTTTGAGCCTGCGTGTGTTGTACTGAGATTACTCCTAGCTTGGTGCTTAGAAGTTGCTCCTCGTGGTGCTCTGGGACAATGCACCATGATTGAACCCAGGGCTCCTGCATACAGTGCAAATATTCAGCTCATTGAACCTTCTCTCTACCCCCAAATGAAATTTAAAATAGGCAATCTAACCAGAATTCATAGTGGTAACTCTTTTTGTTTGGAGCTAATATGGATGGGAGGGGAAAAGGAGATAACTTACTAGGGTGCCGGAAATATTTGGTGTCTTCACCTGCGAAGTGTGTGTGTGTGTGTGTGTGTGTGTGTGTGTGTGTGTAGTTAAAAATTCCTCCAATGAAGGTGGGAGAGATAACTCATTTTGCTGAGTGCATCTTTTACATGCAGGAGACCTGCCTTTGAAAAAAATGTGAAGTTTTAAATTTGTATTTAAATTGAATCAGTTCTGTAATTTACAATACTCACTGTATTGTTTCTCATGCACATAATTCTAACACCTTCCCCTCAGCAGTGTACCTACCTCCTCTTTCAATTTCCCTTCTTTTCAAACCCCACTTCCTCGCCAACTCAATTGTATGGATCAGTTCTCCAGTTGCACTGCCTGTGGAGAAATTTGTTTTGATTGTCCCAGTGATCCCCAAGTACCCCCTTGAGCACCACTATAAGTGACCCACAAAGCAAGCAAAATTCTTTGAAGTATGCACAGATAAGAGTTTTACATTTTACAGGTACATCATTTACATTTGTACCTAGGTCTCTACTACATCAACATTCATTTTATTTATTGGGAGTATATCTAGCTCTAGAGATAACATGCTAATGCCAGTCACCTTGCAGACTGCGGTCAATCTGTCCCTTTGAAGGTGGCCTCATTTCTGAGCTGGCCTGGAGCTGACAGGCAGATTATGAAGGTCATACTCCATCATCATTGACAGCTGGAGATGCCATCACATGCCTCTGGCATCAAAGCACAGGGAAAACCAGGCAGTGGACTGTGCTTTCCACCCTTAGGCTGGGAGGCGCAAGCCCCAGCATTGGAAGGATTAAAGAGCCTCTCAATTTAAAAAGGCAGGGGGAGGGGAGAGAGGGGAGTGTGGGCTGCACAATTTATAAATAGACATTACCGAAGGCTGCCTGATGGGGAAGTGGTTGTTTAGTAAATCTTTCTCCTTTAAGAATCCAGGATCTGAAATCATTTGAAAAGACCCGTTTCGTTTTGTTTTTGTTTTTGTTTTTTGGTGTGTGTGTGTCTGGAGCTGCCAGGTTGCCTCAAGTCTGCCTTATTGATATTTCTCTCTGCCAGATTTAGGGACAGGCCTTGGAGATTTTTAATCACCTTTATATGGAGCCCAAAGACGATGATGACGATGATGTTTCTTTTGCCAAATGGATGAGCAGCTTCTGGGGTCATAACTGGGTAGAAGAGAGTGAGAGGGGACTTCGGGACCACCGTCGCAGATCACAAGACGCCGGTTACAGGAAAACCTCCCTGCCCTGTCCAGTAAGTTACCACCACAGATCCGGGGAAAGCTGAACTAGAAGAGGGGGGCTTCTGTCAGACTTTATTTATTTATTTTTGTTTTGGGGTCCCACCTGGTCCTGCTCCTGGCCTACTCCAGGACCTATGATCAGGGGACCATAGGCAGTACTGAAGATTGAACAGGGGTTGGCCACATGCAAGGCAAATGTCTTAACCCCGTACTATTCGTCTGGTACCCTCAGACAATTTTCCAAGTGTCCTTTGGTCTAAATTTTTCTATGGCTGATAATCAGAATTTGTAAACCAAAAACAACAACAACAAAATACCCACAGAAATTCCCTGATTAGGGAATTCCCTGGATTTCTTGTCCTTCCAGGAACCTGACTATTAGGTATTGAAGTCTTCATTTTCAATAATGATATTTTTTGTTTGTTTGTTTGCTTGCTTTTTAGTTTGTTTTGACTGTCCTCAGAACTTAACTTCTAACTCTATGCTCAGGGACCATTTATAAGGATATGTGATGGTGGAGAAACCTAGGCCAGCTGGGCCTTAGTCTCATACTATATTCTGACCCAACTTCAGCTATTTTAAACTGCTATTAGAGTGGCCAATAAACCTGAAATACTCCTGCTACGTGATACTCTCATTCAAGCCTAAGGAAAAAAAAACTTGATGTTACAGTCTGTGTGGTATCCAAGTGGGTCAATGTGTGAATCCTTTAAAAACCTGAAAAAATCTCCACTCTTTGGGGACCTGTAAGGAACGAGCAATTCCACATATTATTACCTTTGATAGCTCACGGTTCCCATTTGGTTTCCTAATGGGAGAGAGCCCCCAAATTCTCCTGCCTTCAACCTTATTTTCCCATCAGCTAGGTACAACACCCTGAATCCAGTTAGCAAGAGGTGTTGCTGTAAGGGAATGAGTGTGTGTGTGCGTGACCAGGTGTGGATTTAGCAGCGGGCCCTGGCAGTGATTTGCTCTTATCTATTGAGAGGCTAGAAGACTCCACAGAGGCACAGTGGTCTGTGCTTCATAGTCACATACAGCTTTTCCGTATTACAAGCCATGTAGAATTCCAGCCACCAGAGAGCACATCCATAAACCCTTTACTGCTGCCAGTCTTAGATCATTTAAGTTTGAGAGTAATGACATTTTGTTTTAATTTTAACTCTAGAATTTCCAGCAACATAATATCTGAAAGATATTGAAATGGGTAAAGCAACCTCATTAACTGTGGTGAGGAGCAAGTTTGATAAATGACACCTCTTTGAGACTGATTGGAAACAGATCTGTTACTAAATGGAAACTCAGGGACAAAAGGGCAACAACTTTCAGAGGCTCTTAGAACTTCAGATTCTTCAAGTGAGAGATAAAAGGGTTGGGTGAGATAGGATGATTTCCAGGAGCCCTTCTAGCGCTGGTTTTTCATGGTTATGATATAAAAGAAGCACCTGCTTATCGCTCTCATTTCAATTCCTTTTGTTCTACACTGAGTGATGTGTTTATATTATGAGAATCAGGAGTATGATTAATTTCCAATTTCTAAAATGTAAGAATAAAAGAGAAAATATATGATTTGTTATTTACTTAAAAAATCCCTTTGGAGCCATAGAAAACAAAGGAAGAATTATAGTTCCTAAAATAATTATTTTCTTCACTTAGACTTTAAAAATTCTATTTAGAGAACCACTTTTGTGTTGCATTGTTTTTCCAACACTATTGGGGAATAGTACACTTCGTTACATATGACATTTCTAAAGGGTGTTTTCTATAATATTGATAGTCTTTTCTATTTATACTGGCTTTGATCATTTGTCAAAATCAGCCTGTTCTGTCAACAATAAATTACATAACAATTAGACTAACATGGATAAAATGCGTGCTTATTTAGTAAGACAACTGATGGCATAAAAATGACAATCTGGTTCAATAGAGACAGCACAGACCTTGGGAGCCAGGGACAATTTGGGCAGAATCCTGGCAGAGATTCCTGAAGGAAGGCCTATTCTTCATCCTCTAGCCACATAAAGCTGTGTACTAGTAAAGTGAGATATTTCACGTTCCATAACTCTAAGATGTTTTGATAAGATGTCGCACGGGGCAGAGTCTGGCAAACTCCCTGTGGCGCACCAAATATGCCAAATACCAGTAACAATGATGGGTCTCATTCTCCTAAAAAGCCTTGAATATAATCTCAGGGCTAGGATGAAAGAGACGTTACTGGGGCCTGCTCGAGGCAATCGACGATTAACAGGATGATGAATGAATGAATGAAATAACTCTAAGATGCATCAATTATTATTTTATTTTAGAGCTAGGTGAACACCTGTAGCACTGTAGCACTGTCTCCCCTTGTTCATCGATTTGCTCGAGTGGGCCCAGTAATGTCTCCGTTGTGAGACTTGTTGTTACTGTGTTTAGCATATCAAATATGTCATGAGGAGCTTGCCAGGCTTTGCCTAGCAGGTGAGGTACTCTCGGTAGCTTGCCGGACACTGCAGAGAGGGGCGGAGGAATCAGAAACCTGGTGGGCCAGGCGGGCCGCGTACAAGGCAAACGCCCTACCGCTGTGCTATCGCTCCATTTAAAAATGTTTATGCTTTGCCTTGAATTCAATGAGAATAATATAAAAAGAAACGCTTACTCATAGGAAGGTCTTAAGTTTTCTATTCTACCCCCAGGTGTACTCTAAGACTCTTTCTTTTTGCAGTCTGTTAATTTAGCAGCTTCTGGTTGAACAGGACAAGTCCTTGCATTGATCCCTTGGAGAAGGTTCCAAGTGTCTTTGGCCTGGAGCATCTTGAACCTAGAGCTTCTCCTATAACATTCCCATGTTTAGCTAATTATGGGTCTGGGTCACAATAGGGTATTGATGACAGTTTCACATGGATTTCTCTGTAATAGTATGACAAAGCCAGATTTATTCACTTCTCTAACTTAAAAAACATTTTACTAAATAGTTTAAAATATCCTTTAATTTTCCTAATGGATCTCTAGTGGATGCTATTGAGTTTCTTCTAGTATTTCTGGTGAAGGAGCTGCCATTTTACCATTTGAACACTTAATTTTTTCTGAAACTGTTCTCATATGTGAATAGTTGACTAATTTTGAAATCCTTTTACTCTGATGATAGCATTAGACCATACTGAAAAAAATTCCTCACATGAAATTCTTTAGCTTAATTCCTTAAGACTTAATACTATTTATTATTGTTTGGGAAGGTTTTGGGGTCACACCTGGTGGTGCTTAGGTGCAGCACCTGGCTCTGTGCTCAGCAGACTCTGTCCCAGTGGTGCTCAAGGGAGCATATGTGATATGAGGCAAGTGTGCCTTTAATCCTTGTAATCTCTCTTTGACTCTAAGAACTACAAATTATGAGCAGAATTTGGTCAGAGCTAATACATTGTTTTAAATCACATGTACAGGGACTGGAGAGATATTATTATATATTATATTATAATATATATTATATATTATTATTGCTGCTTTTTGGGTCACTGCTGGCAATGCACAGGGGCTACTCTTGGCTCTGCACTCAGGAATTACTCCTGGCGGTGCTCAGGGGACCATATGGGATGCTGGGAATCGAACCTGGGTCGGCTGTGTGCAAGGCAAGTGCCTTACCCACTGTGCTATTGCTCTAGCCCCAGGGTATTTCCTTTGCAGGTGAGTGAGTCAGGTTTGATCCATGGCATCACATGTTGTATCCTGAGCATCACCCGGAATGAAGAGTCAGGAGTAAGACCTGAGAGTCATCTGGTATGGCCCCCAAACAAACAAAATCAGAAAAACCACATACACAGGGAACAGACACTTTGAATAAGGACAAACCATTGATTACTCGACAGAAACTCCTAGGCAGGGGCTGGGGGTAGAGGAGAAAAGAGGAAAGGGAGAGGCTGATGGACTAGAGGTGATGTGAGGGATATATACTTGAAAGGTGTCTTCTGCTCTTCTCTGGGATGACTCCAAGGTTTGTATAAGTCACATTCTGCCCGCAGTTAGATCTTTACTGGCTTTAGGAGGAATTTCATTATGTTTTCAAGGTGGAATTCTAGATCAATGATAAAGATATCCTTGGACACAGTAAACCAAGTGGCATGGAGTTGTTACTGCTATGAAAACCGTGTATGTTGCATGCTTTATAACCTGGTGCCAAGGTGCCTCGCATGGACTCAGTGTGAGAGATGCATTCCAGGTGCCAGAGATCACTTCTCAGTGTGGGGGAAGGCCAGTTCAAGACTGTGGTGGCAATGATCACATACTTTTTAGAAATAAGCTACTTCAGGCATTGGATCATTATGCCCTTGTGAGGGAAATTAGAAAGGCATAGAGAATTTCAAAAGTAGAGCTTGCTAGTGAGTAAAAAATTTGAGCATGGAACTCCTTCACATAATCATCTAGAATGCTCTATTAAGCTTGTTTCTCATAAAGTCATACACGGAAACAAACTAGGTGAAAGGAAATATTTGAGTTTATATTTTATTTATCTTGTAGCCAAAACTCTTACCTAGTAAGAGAGAGCTCAATGAGGCAGGGAGAAAGCTTAATAGGCCCAGGATTTTTCTCTGCCACTGCACTCCTGAGAGTGAGCACTTAGCTGGGAGTGCTACTGAGTAGCCACTGGTGTGGTCCACCCCTCCACCAAAAACAAAGAGCAGGCAACCCCCCAAAATTGTCATTGTTTTTTTTTCCCTTTGGTTTTGCACTCACACCCTGTGCTTTGGACTTCCTCCTCGCTCTGTGCTCAGGAATCACTTCTGACAGGGCTTAGTGGACCATTTGAGGTGCTCGGGATCAAACTTGAGTTGGTCACTCACAAGACAAACACCCTACCGAATTTGCTATCTCTTCATCCTCCTCATTTGATATTTTTATTTCATTCTGTATACATTCACTCATTTAACATGCACTTTGGGGGATCCTCTGAAACTGTTCAGAGGGCTTGCTAGGGGCCACTTCTAACAATATTTTACCAACCAGATTGGACAGTCCAAGCAAGTCCAAGAATGTTGGAGCTGCTTGCACCCCGCAGTGCTAGGAACCACCAGGACCACACCTGGGGCAGTTCTTGGGGGAAGGACTTGTGGTTGTGGGGTTCAGACTCAGGTATGTGCCCCCGACCTTTGTGCTATCTGCTACCCTTGATGTAATATGAATATATCTTCATTTGTATATCTTCATTTGTTTATTACTTATTTTGTATTTTTTTGGGGGGGGGCATGCCCAGAAGTGCTCAGAACTTATTCCTAGCTCTGCACTCAAAGATCACCCTTGGCAGGTATTGAGGTCCATACACGGTTGTTGGAATCTAACCCGGGTTGGCTCTGTGCAAGGCAAACACTTTATCCACTGTACTATTTTTCCAGCCTATATATATATATATATATATAGGGGGTTTGTTAGGGGCCATATATATATTTTGGGGGTCACTCTTGGCGATGCACAGGGGTTACTCCTGGCTCTGTGCTCAGGAACCACCCCTGGCAGTGTTCAGGGGAAAATATGGGCTGCTAGGAATCTAACCTGGGTTGGCCTCATGCAAGGCAAACGCCTTACCTGCTGTGGTATCGCCCTCCCATGTATATTTTAATGAATTCCTGTTATGAATAGGGTGAGGTGAATCCTGGGAGTCTAGCAGAGAACAAAACATGAATGAGTTTATAATCTGATGGAGAAGAGATGTATAGCAAAATCACAAAACTGGGGTTGGAGAGAAAGTACTGTGAGTAAAACACTTACCTTGCTTGTGGCCATCCCTGGTTCTATTCCTGGCATCACATGGGGTGTCCCAAGCACCACCAGGAGTGGTCCTTGAACACAGCTAGATGTGGCCCCTAAACCCCAAACACAATCCTTCCGCCTGAGATATACAATCAGTTAATTATTGATTAAGTTACTAATTATATTTGTAGTAGTATCATAAAGGAGAAGTAGGACCATCTAATAGAAGAGCAACTGAAAGGAACTAGACTCAATCAAGGCAGTAGGCAAAACTTTCTGAGACATGTTTTCCCCACTGAGTCAAGAGTCATTAGTGAAACTGGGGCGATAGTACAGCAGGGAGGGTGTTTGCCTTGCAAACGGCTGGCCCCCGAGGTTTGATTTCAAACATCCCATATGATCCCCCCCGAGCACTGCCAGGAGTAATTCCTGAGTGCATGAGCTGGGAAGAACCCCTGTGCATCCCTGGGTGTGACACAAAAGCAAAACAAACAAACAAAAAAACAGTCATTAGTGAGGTAACGGGTGTGGTGGAATGTGGTTGTGGTTGTAATTTTAACCGTGTGAATGTTGTAAATGCTGACACAAAGTAAGTCAGACAGGGGATTGGGGCTACCAGTAAGGGCTACTGTGTACCTTGATGAAAGAAACAAGGTCCTGGCAGTGGTCCTGGCAGTATGGATGGTTTTGAGAAACACATCGAAGAGGAATCTGTGGACTCAGAGATCGAATGAAGACAGAGATGCTTGAATCACAGGGGGGTCAGAGTAACCTGGTGAACAGTGGTGTCCTCTTCTTGGTAAGGGGACACCTGAACAGACTTGAGAGGGAATGATAATGAATTGGCATTTGGACAAGCCTGGTCAAGTGCCTTTGGGGATACCAAGAACAGAAGTTGAGTGTACAAAAGCTCAGAGGAATGGTCTGGGCTTATAATATTAATCAGGAAAATAGATTATAGGTAGAAATTTTAGTCCAGGAATGACTTTATGAATTTAGGGAGAATTTAAGTCCAGGCATGACTCTGTGGCTTTAAGGAGAATGTAGCCTTTAAGGAGAAAGGTTTTATTAATCAGAAGATAAAAGTTTCAGTTCAAAATGAGATTTGTTTTGTTAATTTAATAGTATTCCATCTTGATGCCAATACAATACAGTCTCTATATTGTAATTTAAAAATTTTGTCTTTCCAGTTTTCTGAGCTTTCCAGAATCCCATCATCTGACAGTCGTTCTAGGAGGCATTCTCATGAAGATCAGGGATTTGGATGCCATACCCATGTGGGGGATTTTAGAAAATGCTCAAAGGATGAGTCATTCAAGGAGCCATTGGATTCAAAAGGAAGATCCCATCCCAAAATTCCAGTATTTTCGGAGTCCTCTGACCGTACAGTGTGTTTTAAGACCAAGCGCTCTGTCTCTCTGGTAGGTAAAAGAATTATACCATATAGGAGCAATTTTAATAAAAGAAAACTAAGGGAGGGATTCATCCTCCCTAAGTTTGGGAAGGGAATATTATCTAACTTCTCCATTTACAGCTTGGTATTGAGATCTTTGAAAGATGACCTTTAGTTTTAGATAGCCCAGACATGCCAAAATTTTTTCATTACAATTTCTTTGAAGATATATGACAAGGAAAGAACTTCTGGAGGACTTTAATTGGGATTTTTGTTACTGATTTTCTCTTGTTCTTTAGACTGCTCTCATCTCTTTAGTAAAAGAGTTGTGATTCCTTATTTCATTATAATGAAGAAGAAACAAATTGCCACTGATACTCTGTCCTTTCATATTTACACCAGGAGAGAATGACCTATGATGCTATACTGTCTTTTATGTATGTGTAGATATGGGTGGGTGTTGGCCATGTCTGGCCCTGAATCCAGGTCCTTATACATGCAAGGCAAATGTTCTACCATGGAGCGACATCCTGGGCCTGTATATGCCTTTTCTTTGTAAAAGCTCTTTCAGGAATCTCTTTGGGTGCGATGCAGCAAGGATCCTGGTTCAAATACTGAGAGGTCTCTTGAGAGTCTGAGTTAAGCTCAGGGGAGACACCAGCATAAAGTGAGGGAAAGAATAGAAAGTCCAGAGATGATGCCAACCAGATACTTGAAGTAATAAACTAGAGATCAACTGATTTTCATGTGACTGTGAGCAAAATACCTTTGTGGGTCTCTGGTCTTTCTGGCAGAGAGAGGAATGTTCTTAAGTCTTACTCAAAGCCCAGGAACAATTCCTTACTATATTCCGCCAATCAAACTGTGCTATGGCCTGAGACTGCTGTAGCCTGGTACGGGCGCTCAGTGCTTCTCTCTCCTGTTGTCAGAGCGTCTGAGCTTCCAGCCTAATAGAGGTAGGTGCTAGGACTGTCCTGCAGTCTGCTACCTAACGGGGAACACTCAGGGCTCTCCCGCAGTCTGCATTCTTGTGTTTAAACTGGAGTAAGACCTGTTCTTTAAGCTATATTAAAAAAAAAAAAACAGTTTCAGGAGCCAGAGAGATAGTACAGTGTTTTTTTTTATTATTAAATTGTTTTTAAATTTACTTAATTTTTTTATTTCATTAAATCACTGTGAGATATAGTTACAAGCTTTCATGTTTGAGTTACAATCACATATAATAAAACACCCATCCCTCCACCAGTGCACACTCTCCACCACCAATCTCCCCAGTATAACCCCCAACCTTTCCCGCCCTTCCCCTGCCTCCATGGCAGACAATATTCCCCATACTTTCTCTCTACTTTGGGGCATTGTGATTTGCAATACAGTTACTGAGAGGTTATCATGTTTGGTCCTTTATCTACTTTCAGCACACATCTCCCATTCTGACCGATTCCTCCAACCATCATTTTCTTAGTGATCCCTTCTCTATTCCAACTGCCTTCTCCTGGCAATCTTCCTGGCCCTTGTATCTTGTATCCTTGGGTGTCAGTCTCATGTTATGTTATTTTTTTTTTATGGTGTGACTATCATTATTTACTCAATCATTTCTCTGACAAATTATTCTTTGTGTTCCAGTTATTGGACACTACAGACAATGCTACAATAAACAAATATGCTCTCATTAATTGTTATACAGGTTGGAGCGATAGCAGAGTGGGTAGGGCGTTTGCCTTGCACGCAGCCGACATGGCCCACCCGAGTTCGATTCCTCTGCCCCTCTCGGAGAGCCCGGCAAGCTACCGAGAGTATCTCGCCCGCACGGCAGGGCCTGGCAAGCTCCCTGTGAAGTATTCGATATGCCAGACACAGTAACAACAAAGTCTCCAATGGAGACATTACTGGGCCTGCTCGAGCAAATCGATGAACAATGGGAGGACAGTGACAGTGACAATTGTTATATATTTGTTTTTATACAATAAATTATTGGAAATATAGTTATGGTTATCAAATTAAATTTTAGAGGATTTTTCCAGTTGCTTTCTTTTCTTTCTTTTTTAAATTTTATTGAATCACCATGAGATAGTTACAGATTTTCATGTTTGGGTTACAATCACACAATGATCAAACACCCATCCCTCCGCCAGTGTAGATTTCCCACCACCAGTATTCCCAGTATAATCCCCCTTTCCCACCCTCCCCCTGCCTCCATGGCAGACATTATTCCCCATAATCTCTCTCTACTTTGGGGAATTATGGTTTGCAATACAGACACCGAGAGGTCATCATATTTGGTCCTTTATCTGTTTTCTGCACACATCTCCCATCACAATCGATCAGCCATTATTTTCTTAGTGATCCCTTCTCTATTCCATCTGCCTTCTCCCCTTTGCTTATGAGGCAGGCTTCCAGCTATGGAGCAATCTACCTGTCCCGTGTATCTACTATCTTTAGGTGTGAGTCTCACGTTATGTTGTTTTATACTCCACAGATGAGTACAGTCCTTCTATTCTGTCCCTCTCTTTCTGAATCATTTCACTTAGCATGATACTCTCTGTGTCTATCCATTTATAAGCAAAGTTCATGACTTCATCTTTCTGACAGCTGCATAGTATTCCACTGTGTAGATGTACCAAAGTTTCTTTAACCAGTCATCTGTTCTAGGGCACTTGGGTTGTTTCCAGATTTTGGCTATTGTGAACAGTGCTGCAATGAACATATAGGTAAAGATGTCATTTATACTGTGCTTTTTTGCATCCTTGGGATATATTCTGAGAAGTGGTATTGCAGGGTCATATGGAAGCTCAATTTCTAGTTTTTGAAGGACTGTCCATATTGTTTTCCAGAAAGGCTGGACTAGTGGACATTCCCACCAATAGTGAAATAGTGTCCCTTTTTCCCCACATCATGTTATGTTATTTTATACTCCACAAGTGAGTGCAGTCCTTCTATGTCTGTCCCTCTCTTTCTGACTCATTTCACTTAGCATGATACTCTCCATGTCTAACCACTTATAAGCAAATTTCATGACTTAATTTCTCCTAACAGCTGCATAATATTTCATTATGTAGATGGATAATACAGTGGTTAAGGCACTTGCCTTGCATGGTTCCCTGCCTGGGTTGATCCTCAGAACTGTGTGGTTCCCCCTAGTCATTTGGTGTAGCTGTAGAGGCCCCCAAGCACTGAAAGTTATGGGCTTGAGGGGTCCCCACAGTGTTGGGTGACCTGGAGTCATTCTCAACTCCCCAGGCCCAAGCAGCACTGCACCCTTAGCACAACCTCTTCTGAGCACCATTCAGGAGCTCCTCCCTACCAGAGAAAAATATTTTCAGATTTGCAACAATACTGTGCAAAAAGTACAAATAATGATTTCATTATCTAGATTCCCTCCAAATTTTTCATGTGTTATCATGTTTTCCAATACTCTTTCTCTCTTTCCTACTCCCAAACAAGGGTACGAGATATTCTCTCCCATAAACTCAGTAAGGTAAAGGTAAAGGCCCTCCCGTTGATCATCGATTTGTTCGAGCGGGTCCAGTAACGTCTCCATTGGAGACTTTGTTGTTACTGTGTTTGGCATATTGAATACATCATGGGGAGCTTGCCAGGCTCTGCCATGCGGGTGAGATACTCTCGGTAGCTTGCCGGGCTCTCCGAGAGGGGCGGAAGAATCGAACTCGGCTCGGCCATGTTGGCTGCGTGCAAGGCAAACGCCCTACCGCTGTGCTATCGCTCCAGCCCCTATAAGTAATGATTATTAAACTCAGGAAACCAGCACCAACGCAATATTTATCTAATCTGTTGACTTTATGTATACATTTTTCTTATTGTCCCAATAATGTTCTTTAGAGAGAGATTCCAGTTTGTTGGAAACAGTACTCGTGTTCTTCTCATCTGTTTTCTTCTTCAGCACTCTGTCTTTTCTATCTTTCATGACATTGATCTTCCAGGAGGACTGGCAGGTTATGGTTTGTTTTGTTTTGTCTGGTTCACATCACACCACTTGAGCCATCTCTCTGAATCGAACCCAAGTTTCCTATGTTCAAGGTAAATGCCCTACTTACTGTACAATCTCAAACTTCCTGGTTACTTTGTATGAGAATGGGGGCATTTGGGCCATAACCAGAGGTGTTCAAGGTTCAAGGTCCCCCTGGCAGAGCTTGCGGAACCATAGGGAGAGAGTACAGGCTAAGCTCCTTAACCTTCTTTTTCTGATATTCCCTCCTGATTAGATACAGGTTATGATTCTTTTTCAGGAATAAAACAGAAGTAAAATGATTTATTTTAAAACTCTTCAAGTCATTACTTAAAATTTTACTGATTCAGGAGATTTACTAAATCCTTTCTGGATCCAGGTATGGCATAAATATATTTTGAGGGGATTTTGAGGGGAGGGGATATGGCTAGTGGTAGAACCTTGTATGTGTGAGGCTCTGGTTTTGACACCTGGTCTGTATTTCTATAACCTATACCTATCTAGTTAAATATATTTTGGAAAAAGAAATTAATCCAAGCAGTTCTTTGTAGATTCCTATGGTCTTACACCTTTTTGTAGATCACACTCTATTACATAAACCCTTCTCTTCCAGGGCCATGAAAGCAGAAAGGAAAGAAAAGAAAGAGAAGGGCTCTTGGTGGAGACAAGGGCCCGCAAGAAAGTGGAGGAAAGGAGTTCTAGGAAGGAAGAAGCCCGAGAGGCCTCCAGACCCCGCTTGTTTGAAAGAGGGCCTAAGTAGTACTGGGTTTCCAACTCACAACTACAGGCGCTGCTGTGATTTTTGAGTCCGGGTACACGGTGCACCCGGCCAGTGGGGGGCAGCGGTGGTCAAGGAGTGTATGCAGATGCTGCAAGTCTGAACTGGATGGTTGCTTCGGCTGCTTCCCAAAATAGTGTCTAACATCCTCCAACGGCTTCTAGCATATTAGCTGAGAGCATGATCTGCTTTGTTGCCCTTTTATGGGAAGAATAAGAATCAAGGTTATTTTAATAAAATAAAATCATTCTGGAAACTGTGAAGAGAGATATTTAAAGAGCCACCCACACATCTTCACCCACCCTTCCACGTCAACCCCACAAATAATCTTAAATAAAAATCATTGCTGTGACTCTAACCTTGCTCTTCAATTAGAAATAATTGTGAAGGTATGTCTAATGGCCACCATTTAATGAGAACTGATCATTAAAATGTCAACTATGATGCTGAGTGCTTTAATGCTTTACCTAAAATAATCCTTACCCACTCCAAGGTGGGCCTGTTTTTTTTTTTTTTTTTTTTTTTTTTTAGTTAGTTTCTAAGTGAGTGAAGCAAAGTTTGGGAAAGTACAGTAACTCACTGGCATGAATCCACTCTGACTCATGCTCCTATCCTGACTCATGGCCTTTGTTTCCCTTTCAAATCTGGTCTTGACATAGTATGTGTGTGCAGCACTTGTGAATGAGACAATGTGAGTGCGAGAAGCAGGAATAGGGGTAGCGTATGATTTTCATTCTACAGCCACCCAGGTTTCTCTGGGGTCAGATTTCTGCACTCAGTTTTAGTTTTATGAGGCCATATTATTTATTATTGGCCATTATTAAATTACTCCAGCTTTCTGAGATGTATTTGACAAAAATTTATGTATTTAAATTGTTTAACGTTGGGGCCAGAGAGATAGTAGAATAGGTAGGGTGTTTGCTGTACACATGGCTAACCCCTGTTCCATCCCCAGCATTCCATATGGTTCCCTGAGTACTGCCACGAGTAATTCCAGAGTGCAGAGGCAGCTGCACTTAGCATCATCAGGTATTGCCCCCCAAAAAACACACAAAAAAGAAAAAGATAAAGGGGGCCCTGGAGAGACAATACAGCAGGTAGGGTACTTGCCTTGTATACAGTCAACCAGTTTGATCCAGGGCACCCCATATGGTCTCCTGAGCACTGTCAGGAGTAATTCCTCAGTGCAGAACTAGAACTTATACCTGAGTATTGCCAGGTGTGGGCCCCAAATAAAAACAAAAAGATGTAAATTGTTTAGCATCATGATTTGACATCCATATTTTAGTTGTCTTTGTGTTTCTGGAACCCAAGAGTGGTGCCTATCACATAGTAGTTAACCAATATTTATAGTTGGAGGGCGTGTCTCTAAATTATAAGGTCTTAACACAAATTAATTCCACTTATTTTAGGGGAGACATTCATATACTACTCTCTTGAAATAAAAAAATTTCAGTTGATATTTTCCCCTAAAATGGGAAAATTATTACCTGTATCATAAAAGTCTAAAGCACTTTCAAAGAAAACAAGCATGTAAACTAAAAAGTGACAATTCTGAAACCCAGTATTAAAATTAAAACCCGTGCGTGCAGTTCGTTACTGCCACTTTGGTTACTCTTCTCTAGGGGGCAGAATTGAGTCAAGGTTCGGACAAATAAGCCAGACAGTGAAGTATTATTTGGCCAATGACAAAATCACTACCACTATTTTCAAACAAAGGAAAGGATAATTTGTATCAAATTTCTCAAGGTTGGATTAGAAAATTTAATTGTTGGTAAATTTATATGACTGACTACTATATTTGCTTGAAGGAACACAACAAATCGGTGATCACCATTATGAAAAAAAAAAGGAGAAAGGGTTTTAAATTTCAAAGTGGCACATGGAGAATCTATATGATCTAATTTCCACTGCTTCTGAAAATTTTTAGCTTAAGTTACCCGTGGCATATTTGATATGCCAAAAACAGTAACAACAAGTCTCACAATGGAGACGTTACTGGTGCCCACTCAAGCAAATCGATGAACAATGGGAGGACAGTGCTACGGTGCAGTGCTACTCTTCCAACCTTGAATTTATAATTCTGTTTTGGTCGAGTTTTTATTATCAGAGTAAATTATCATGGTAAGTGGCTGAACACAATTCTGTTTTTTTCATACTTTTGGAAAACTCAGGACCAAATGGCAATAAATGGGGAGGAAGTTGCTAAGAGTGAAAAATAAAGCTACCAAATGATTCAGTTCTAGATGTTTATCAAAAGAAAAATAAAATGCCAACTCAAAAATATATCTGCATCCTAATGTTCATTGTAGTGTTATTTACAATGGCCAAGGCATGAAGCCACCATCAAGTGTTCATCAGTAGACGGCTGGATAAAGGCAGTGTGGCATATTCACACAATGCAGTATCATCCAGATCTAAGAAAGAATGAATTCTTGCCATTTGCAAGCTCCCCCAAGCAAAATAAGTTCAGATCAAGACAAATGTATCACCTCACTTATATATGGATTTTAAAATACAAACCCCAACACTTAGAGATTAGGGAACAGTTTGGTGGTTTTCAGAAGCTGAGATGGATGGAAGATGAGTTGGGTGAAGGGGATTTTGTTTGTTTGTTTGTTTGTGGGTCATACTTGGCAATGTTCAGGAATTACTTTTGGCTCTGCACTCAGGAATTACTCATGGTAGTACTCAGGGCACCATGTGGGATGCTATGGATTGAAACTACCTGTTGAACTATCGCTCCAGCCCTGGGTGAAGGAAGATTTACAGGACATAAAGTTCTGGGCCCAGGGATGTGACTCAGTGGTAGAGTTCCTATCTTGCATGCATGAGGCCATAAATTCAACCTCCTTATTACCTGTACTGCCTCACATTACAAGTGTGGTTCCCAGAAGTGCTGTTGTGATTCATTGCATCCCAACATGGGATGCCTTCTGAGAAGTCCCACATCCCAGTGTGTGTGAGCACTGCAACCAAGAGTACGACCCCTAGACATCACCATAGCAACAAAGAGAAGAGAAGGAAAAATGAACAAATTTCTCTGTAAAATAAATCCTGGGGTGTAATGTACAGTGTGGTGACTATAATTAATAATAATACTGTGTTATATCTCTGGATGTTTAAAGAGAATAGATTCCAAATGTTTTCACAAAAGCTGATTTCTAACTATGTAGAGTGATGGATGCTAACTAGAATTACTATGGTGATAGTTTTACAATATTTATAAATGTTTAATACAGATATAGAAATATATTTAAATGTAAAAATACTTAGCTTAAAGTTCCATGCATTCAATTTCATATTAAATATTTATATTCTGATATACAGAAATAGCCATTTTATTTATGAAATGAATGTAATTTTATTTGCCAATTACTGCTCAACAAACAGAACACAGTGAGCTGCCGAATCTCAATTTCACCCAGTTTTTTTGCCCCAGATTTTATGTGTATGTATGCCCAGCATCTCAGATTTAGGCTCCAGAGCCTAGCCACACCTTACAGGAATAGACTGCCTTGATTCATCATCTCTGAGTGTCTCCCTTGCTCACAATTGCCAGGATTCATTTTCTCATTCAACAAAGATTTTTCTGAGTTCTGTTTTGAGCCACACCCAGCAGTGCTCAGCAGGACTTTGTGACCCATATACGGTATCAGGGATTGAACCCAGGTTGGCCACATGCAAGGCAAGTACCTCAACCCCTATACCAAGTCTTTGGTCCTCATTAAAAAAATTGTTTGATTGCCTGCAATATGCTGGTGATAGAATAGTGAACAAATTTGACAAAACCCACTTTTCTAGGTGTTCACATACCACTGAAGAAGGTAGACCATAAACATTGTTTAACTCCCTATTATTTCTTTAGAAAGAGCGTGTTTCAAAATAAAGATGTGAAACGGTTTAGTTTGAAGATTTTGGTAGATTCCTCACTATTTACAAAATAAGTTTAAATATTTGGCATGGTATCAAACATGGTTTTGGGCTGATTTTTAGTTTGTTGGGTTTTGGGGGCAGGGGCTTGGGGAGCATATAGTGCTAGGATCAAACCCAAGGTTTCCCCATGCAAAGCATGCCGCTTCAGCCCTTTGAGCCCTCTCCCCGTTTTCTTAGCCAGTTTTTCAACTTTAATAAAGAAGACATTGTTTCAAACTCTTTTTACCCATTGCCACTATATTCCTCCTCAGTGTTGTGTGAACTATGTAACTACCCATCTTTCTTTTTGGCAGGTTTTCATTGCTGTTGTTGATATTACCTTCAAGTGTTTTGATGGAAGGCCAGATGCAAACAAATAAAATCTTCATAATGACTATTGTGTTTGTTTGGATTTTCCACTTGGGATAGGCACTGGTTAGCCATTTATTAAGGAGTAGTGATAATGTTGTATGGGTCATGGGTCATTTTATCATGATTAAGGAGCCAATGATGTATTTTCCCTACAATCTCTCTTCTTATCTTTGACAGTTACCATGTATGATCAGTTAATGCTTTTTTTAAAGGTACCAGATTCTTTGAACCCCTCAATTTACAAACATTGTAACATTAGTAAGACAATTACAAGTCACTTCTTCCAAATAAGTGTGAAGTACACACATACTGGGAAGGAAGAAAAATGATAGAAACAAAATCCAAGATCTTTTGAAGAACATCTGATTAAAGTCTCATAAAAATCTTATAAAGACATGTTTTGAAGATAGGAACTTGCTACAGGTGACTTTAGCCTTTTCTTAATGCCCTCCAGGGCTGGGAATTTTTCTTTTTGTTTTGAGGGGTTTTGCTTGTTTGTTTTAAGACCACACCCAGAAATGCTCAGGAGTTACTCCTGGAGATTCTCAGAGGACCATATGAGATGCTGTGGATCGAACCGGGTTGGCCATGTGCAAGGCAAGTGTCCTACACACTACACTATTGCTCTGGCGCCAGTAATATAAATTCTGACTTTGCTAAAAATCTTGTAGTTGACTTTGTTGTTGTCCAGCCATTAATCTTCACCTTGCCACAACCCCTGTGGCTCTTGCCAGAAAAGTTTTTTTTTTTTCCTGAGTTGCATTTATTTGCCTTGTGGAAAAGTTCCACCCAAGGCAAACTTGTTGATTTTGTTCTAGTACCCTGTAGCATAGATATAGTTCCTCCTATGAGCAATGCCATTATAATTCCTAAAGGAGAGTGTTCATGCCTTTCTCTGCCTGCCCCCCACCTCCGTCCCCTGGGGTTTCCTTAAGGACAGATTTCTGTGTGATTCATTCACCACTCTGTAGAGGACCAGTGTGGAACACTCCCATCACCCTTCATGCCTTATTTGAGCTTTTTGGTTAATTTTATGTTTAAAGTATGGCATCCAGTTGAGGAGCTAGTACAGGGCTTACGGCATGTGATTTGCATATGGCTGATACTGATTTCATCTCCAGCACTTTCTGGTCCCCTGA